CTGATCTCTCCCTGTCCTCTGATGAAGCTGATAGACCTTTGATTTCTCCTCTGTCCTCTGATGAAGCTGATGGAATGGACTGATCTGATGATGTCTCCCCATCTATAAGCTGAAGCTGATGACCTCTGAGCTGATGGACCTCTGATGTCTCTGTCCTCTGAAGCTGATGGACTCTCTGATGACTCTCCCTGTCCTCTGATGAAGCTGATGGACCTCTGATGTCTCCCCTGTCCTCTGATGAAGCTGATGGACCTCTGATGACTCCCCTGTCCTCTGATGAAGCTGATGGACCTCTGATGTCTCCCCTGTCCTCTGATGAAGCTGATGAACTCCCCTGCTGATGGAGCTGATGGACCTCTGATGATGTCTCCCCTGTCTCTGATGAAGCTGATGACCTCTGATGACTCCCCTGTCCTCTCTGATGATGGACCTCCCTGTCCTCTGATAAAGCTGATGGACCTCTGATGTCCTCTGTCTACAATGAAGCTGATGGACTTGTCTCCCTTGTTCTCAATGAAGCTGATGGACATTTTGATGTCTCCCCATTCTCAGATGAAGCTGATGGACTCTGATGTCTCTCCTGTCATCTGATGGACCTCTGATGTCTCCCCATCCTCTGATATCCACCAGTCAATGTTCACTGAAGGAAGGGGGATCCAGGAGTGAACATTCACTGAAGGAAGGGGAGATCCATGAACGAATGCTCACTCCAGGAGGGAGAAATCCAGGAGTGAATGTTCACCATGGGAAGTGGAAATCCAGGAGTAAATGTTCAATGAAGGAAGGGGGGATCCAGGAGAGAATGTTCACTAATCTCCCACCCCTCTAACTGGCATCACCCCCTGTGTCAATCCTAGGTGTGCTAATGGGCCCATGGCAGGGGTGTGTGGGGGGACCTACCTTTACCAGGGTGTGTGGGGAAAACCCCCATTGCTGGGCTATGCAGGGGGACCTACTATTACTTATGTGTATGGAGGAATCCACCATAACCTGGGTGTGTGCGGGAGGGCTCACCATTACCAGGGTGTGTGTGCGGGGGGGGCACCATTGCTGGGGTGTGTGGGGGAACCCCCCATTACAATGGAGTTCGGGGGAGCCAACCATTACTGGGGTATATGGGGGACCCACCATTTTTGTCAATAAGATAACACCGTGTTATCATTAGTTCATTTTTAAAGTGGAGTTCCCTTCATCTTCATCTTCATACTTCTCCTAATGTTGGATGAGGAACTGGTATGGATATTAAAGGGGAACCCCACACTTATTTAGTTTTGAAGCAGAGTTTTCCTTTATATTGTTAGACCTCACAGTTGAGCTGAACTTTTACTGCCCCCTATATCTGCAGAGGCAGTGGGCAGTGTCTACACATATCCCAGTAGTGATGGTTGTCTTCGCAGTCACAGCAGGAATTATCCCCAAGATGTCACTTTTGATGGGTGTAGCTCCTGCTGAATGTGACCCATTGAAGTGAATGAGGCTGTTCTTTGACCCCCCCAACAAGTGCAGGCAATGCATGTGACTCACAAACTGCACCAAAAACACAAGGCAGGTGCATTTTTGATGTGGTTTGCCATGTTTTCCATTGATTTCAATGGGGGGGTGGTTTTTTTTGTGTGGCTTTTTTTTTTACACACCAAACCTGCACTAAAAATGTGACAAGCAGGACTTTGAAAAATGCAGCGGCCCCGCATCGCTGAGTGTAAAAAGGAATCTGGGAGGGAAATGTAATTTGTTGGCAATTTAAAACTCTTCTCTAGATTTGTAAATGTCAGCGACGTGCGATGATTGACACCCCCTTACCCAGATAATGGGGACTTGTAATCTGACAGATTCACACAGGAATTGTTCATTGCTGAAGGAGCCCCGAGAAACCTTTGGAGGACCCTGACTGAGAAAGGCTGGACTAGGCAGTCATATATTTCTGTCCCCCTTGGTGGGAGTGGAGGTGACCCCTCTATAAGTGTAGCGATCCCCCCAAAGGGGGTAAGTTTGTTTGTTCACTCCACCACTCTGCCTCCCAACCCCAAGAACTGTCTCAGCCCCAACTGACACCCCTGACAATAGTGAAGTACAAGGACCAATGAAAAGCACACACGGTATAATAAACACAGAGATCAGCTTTACTGTAAGACCTCTATGGGAAGTAATAAACATGAACAACAGGTATACGTTCGGTGAATCCAGAGAACAGCAAATCCTGAGACCGGAAGCAATATAACTCACTTTTACACTCAGGCTGCTTTCAGGGGATTCCAACCGTGAATAACCCCAAGAGCAGAGGAAACACTTACATGGCGCCCTCAAAGTGGGTCTAAACCCCTTTACATAAACTCAGCTCTATGATGTCCAAGCAGGAGGAGAGCAGAAGGATGACTCTCTGTGGTGTCAGACTTCTCCCTTCTAACCCCCGACACCACAAGCCCAATAGGCAAACACTGCGCCCAACTGATGCTTCATAGCTACTTTCCAAGGTAGAGCTATTCCCTCCCACACCATGCAATATAGAGGCCTGAATACGCATGCGCGTGCCCGTATGGCACCAGTAACTTCAGTCTCTTGGTAACAGGATGAATGTTGGGGTCTTCAGCGAGACACTTTCATTGGTGCACTTACACTCCTATGGTAAAGTATCATTGTAATCCCGTGGCAGGATTTGTATAGCAAGCAAAGCAAACACTGTGTCTGTATAGCAGGACCATCTACACAACCCAGTGCCTGGTGAGTATGGGAGAAGTGTCATGTCTCTGTGTGCCGTGTTCCTGTCATCTGCCAGGGGGCAAAATCCCTCTCACCAGATCCTGGGACTAAGGCCCAAACCATGGTCCTGGAAATGACCGGCTCCTGTGGTCACCTCACGATGAGCCCTTCACACTGTCGGTGTAGGCACTGTACTGTAGGCCACATCTCTCAGGTTGGATGTTCCCTGACTGATGCAGATACCTAAACATGCTGTGAACTGACCCTGAGCACTTCTCTGCCAGGTCCAGACTGTCTCCTGCCACATGCAGACTGCCTCCCCTCAGGAAAAACAAGATGGAGTCCTTCACTCTGCTCTCACTAAGCATGCTGGTCTCTGTAGTTCCATCCCTCATATCAGCCTATCAGGCCATTTCTGTTCAGGACTGCATATCCCACAATGCTTTGCAGCTGCACCCTCCTGCTTGAGAAAGTCCCTGTCATTGGCTCCTTTAATACCTCTTCTGATTGGCTCTCTCTGTATTACAGTCTGAGAGGAGAAGGGAGGGGCTGAAATCCCTGACTGCCTTGTGTGTATCCAGTGCAAGTGTCAGATTTCACAGGAGATGCCAGTCAGCAGGTTACAGCAGTCACAGATAGGAGTCATTTCCTCCCTACACAAGGATCTACAGTCCATACACACCCAGCACAAGGCCGGGGCCACACACACTACCAGACGCTTCTCGGGGCTGCAGTTCCTCTGAGCTCCACAAGGTGGGGATCTCACTTCTACCACCCACAGGAAGTCTCTATGGAAGACAGACAGGAAGTGATGTCAGGTACAGACAGGAAGTGATGTCAGGTACAGACAGGAAGTTCCGGGTGAGAGCTGAGTTGGGAGGAAGCAGAGAGTGAGACGTTGCTGAAGTAGCAGCAGAGGAGGTAATAAGATTATTATTATACAGTATTTATAAAGCCCCAATATGTTCTTCCTCCATAGTTCTCTCCGCTGTACATTACAAAGGGGGACAGAACATGTGACAGAACAATACCAATACAATGCAAAACATGAGGGGATCGAGGGCCCTGTCCTGCTCTTTCATAGAGCTTACAATCTAGGAGATAAGATGTTATGTCCGTCTATTTACACGTCCAGTCCTCTTCCCCCCGTCATGTCCGTCCTCTTCCTCCATAGTAGTCGTCCTCTTTCCATGTCCGTCCGTCCTCTTCCTCCATAGTCACTGTGACATCTTTTATCTCCAGCAGATGATGATACACACATATATAGTGTGGGAACCCAGATTAACCCCTTCAGGGGCAGAACATTCCCCCACTTCCGGGGGCCGGAACATTCTCCTCATTGTGGAGAGGTGTCACCTTTCCCACCAATCACTCTCTTACCTCATCAGTCTATACCAAAGGATTATACCACTTTTATAAATGGCGGGGGATGGAGAATCCTATATGACACATCACACTGACCTCACAGCTCCTCCTCCTCAGAATCCTATGACATCACACTGACCTCACAGCTCCTCCTCCCTCCTCCCATCCAATGTCCCTCCATCCAGAGTCAGGGAATCTCACAGCTCCTCCTCCCAATGTCCCTCCATCCAGAGTCAGAGAATCCTATGACATCACACTGACCTCACAGCTCCTCCTCCCAATGTCCCTCCATCCAGAGTCAGAGAATCCTATGACATCACACTGACCTCACAGTCCCCCTCCTCCCAATGTCCCTCCATCCAGAGTCAGAGAATCCTATGACATCACACTGACCTCACAGCCCCTCCTCCCAATGTCCCTCCATCCAGCTCCTTTTTTCTCCTTTTTTTTTCCGGTGCTCTTAAGGTGCTCTTGGATGTGGGGACCACTTGGCATCCTCAAGCCAAAGCAGAACTGTTGCTCCTGCATTTTATGTAATGACGTCAGAATTCTTTTACCCTGCGTAGTGTGGGGGTCCTGTGGGGGGGAAATTATACCTCAGCCTGAAGTGGGGCTTTAATAAAATGGAGACCTGAATGGAGAGGTGAGGAGGATTCTGGGAATATCATTTGATGTGACTATTTGTGTTCAGATGTAGAGTTTTCCTCCTCCTGTGAAGTCTGGAGATCATATGACATCACATTGCCTCCACCTCCCTCCCTGATAGAAGAGAGAAAGAAGAAGAAGATTCTAGAAGTCACCAGAGAGATCACTGAGCTGCTGACAGGAGAGGTGAGCGGTGCCGGGAATTCTGGGACATTCTCCAGTAACAGACAAGGGATGTGTCTGGATGGTGACTGTATCATTGTGTGTGTCAGGTTCCTATAAGGTGTCAGGGTGTCACTGTCTATTTCTCCATGGAGGAGTGGGAGTATTTAGAAGGACACAAGGATCTCTACAAGGACGTCATGATGGACAATCAGCCGCCCCTCACATCACCGGGTAAGAGGAGACTTTATTGTAAAGGAGAGAGCAGTACGGAGGATCCACCCCCTCACCATCATCAGGTAGATGATGACAATTATTGGTAGTTGTGATTTATACACAGCATGTTTGTTACAATGAATGTTTTATTATATCTTTCAGAGTGGAATCCTCGGGGATGAGAATATTGATGTTAAAGAAGAGTATAAAGAGGAGGATGAGGAGTATGGAGTGATGGAGGAGTTTTCAGAAGGACACAAGGATATGATGGAGCCACCTAATACCAGGAACCCACCAGAGAGATGTCCCCGTCCTCTGTATTCCCGAGATTCCACACAGGAAGGTCACACCATCCCTCACTATTACAAGGTTGGTGGGATGGAGAATCTAGAACAGGGGTGGGCAAACTTTTTGACTTGAGGGCCGCAATGGGTTCATATATTGGACCCGGGGGCCGGACCAAGAGTAGATGAATGATGCGTATGTGTCATCCATAGTAAGTATAGTAATATTCCCCCATAGTAAGCATAGTAATTAATCCCCCATATAGTAATTCATCCCCCATAGTAATTCATCCCCCATATAGTAATTCATCCCCCATAGTAATTCATCCCCCATATAGTAATTCATCCCCCATAGTAATTCATCCCCCATATAGTAATTCAGTAATTCATCCCCCATATAGTAATTCATCCCCCATATAGTAATTCATCCCCCATATAGTAATTCATCCCCCCATATAATTCATCCCCCCCATAGTAATTCATCCCCCCCCATAGTAATTCATCCCCCCCATAGTAATTCATCCCCCATAGTAATTCATCCCCCATAGTAATTCATCCCCCATATAGTAATTCATCCCCCATAGTAATTCATCCCCCATATAGTAATTCATCCCCCATATAGTAATTCATCCCCCATATAGTAATTCATCCCCCATATAGTAATTCATCCCCCATATAGTAATTCATCCCCCATAGTAATTCATCCCCCATAGTAATTCATTCCCCATATTAATTCATCCCCCATATAGTAATTCATCCCCCATATTAAGTCCCCAAGTCCCCAAGTCCCCCCTGTGTCAATTCACTTACCTTTGCTCCGTGCGTTCCTCTCGCCGTGTTCCCGCGCCGTTCCGGTGTAGCATGAAAATCTGTCTCCTATGAGGATCTGTCCCCCTCGACGTATCTGCGCATGTGCCAGTTTCAGGCATTAGCAGCCGATCGGCGATCTCCGGCACATGCGCAGATACGTCGAGGGGGGACAGATCCTCATAGGAGACAGATTTTCATGCTACACCGGTCTTCAGGCCGGACTGTGAGAGGAGCCTAGCTCCCCTCACGTTCGTCACGCTGCCCCTCCTACACACATCCTGACAGCCATCCTCACAGTATCACGCTCCGCGGGCCGGATTAAAAGGTCCGCCGGGCCATATACGGCCCGCGGGCCGTAGTTTGCCCATTGCTGATCTAGAACATGGACTTGTAGAGACTATGGGCTCCAATCACAAAGCGGTATCTTCCCGTATCCCAGTATGTAGTAAGATGCTGCATTCTGTTTTTTAGTAGTGAATCCTGCGGGTAATTTACCACTGGTGTCCTTAGCAACACTTGTAAATAGCTTGTTGTTAAGGAGAGGGCAGCCGCCAGTGTCCCCAACAACCAGTAAACAAGGAGCGGACGGCCGCCAAGTTCCCCGCTGACAGCTGTGACAGGTCTGGTATGGATTTTTTGATGAGAACCCCGATGCCAAAATAATAAAAAAAAAAGGCGTGGGTTCCCCTTCAAAATCAATACCAGACCCTTAGTGAGTGCCCACCTTCCTCCTGAACCATACCAGGCCACATACCCTCAACATGAGGTGGGTGCTTCAGGGCAGGGGGCGCTCTGCCAATCCCAAAAGCACCTTATTCTTGTGTCGATGGGGACAAGGGTCCCTTTCCCACAACCCTGGGCAGTGGGTGGGTGGGGTGCTTATTGGAATCTGGAAGCCACCTTTAGCAAGGAGGCCCCCAGATCCCGGCCCCCCACAATGTTAATTTGCAAAAGAAGTTGGATGTTCCCAAAGTGCTGTATCAAAGCACATTAATAGAAAGTTATATGGAAGGGAAAAGTGTGGAAGAAAAAGATGCACAAGCAGCAGGGATGACCGCAGCCTGGAGAGGATTGTCAAGAAAAGGCCATTCAAAAGTATTGGGGGCTTTCACAAGGAGTGGACTGAGGCTGGAGTCAGTGCATCAAGAGCCACTACACACAGACGGATCCTGGACATGGGCTTCAAATGTCGTATTCCTCTTGTCAAGCCGCTTCTGAACAACAAACAACGTCAGAAGCGTCTTACCTGGACTAAAGAAAAACAGACCTGGCCTGTTGCTCAGTGGACCAAAGTCCTCTTTTCTGATGAGGGCAACTTTTGCATGTCATTTGGAAAGCAAGGACCCAGAGTATGGAGGAAGAAAGGAGAGGGCCAAGGACCCAGAGTATGGAGGAAGAATGGAGAGGCCCAAGGACCCAGAGTATGGAGGAAGAATGGAGAGGCCCAAGGACCCCGAGTATGGAGGAAGAGTGGAGAGGCCCAAGGACCCCGAGTATGGAGGAAGAATGGAGAGGCACAAGGACCCCGAGTATGGAGAAAGAATGGAAAGGCACAAGGACCCCGAGTATGGAGGAAGAATGGAGAGGCCCAAGGACCCCGAGTATGAGGAAGAATGGAGAGGCCCCCAAGGACCCCGAGTATGGAGGAAGAATGGAGAGGCCCAAGGACCCCGAGTATGGAGGAAGAATGGAGAGACCCAAGGACCCCGAGTATGGAGGAAGAATGGAGAGGCCCAAGGACCCAGAGTATGGAGGAAGAATGGAGAGGCACAAGGCCCCCGAGTATGGAGGAAGAATGGACCAGAGTATTGGAGGGAAGAAGATGGATTAGGCAACACACTGCAAATGCTTGAAGTCCAGAGTGAAGTTTCCACAGGTCTGTTGTTGATTTAGGGAAGCCATGTCATCTGCTGAGTTGGTCCACTGATGGCTTCATTAGTCCCAGGGTCAACGCAGCCGTCTACCAGGAGACATTTGGAGCACTTCCATGCTTCCCTTCCGCAGACGCGCTTTAGGGGATGCTGACTTCATTTTCCAGCAGGACGGGCATCTCCCACACTGCCAAAAAGCAAAACCCAAAAACCCGGTTCAATGACCGTTTTAAATTTCTTTGCTTATTGGCCCGCAA